TTAAGTAAAAAAAATTAACGTAATTCTTTTTTTGTTGTGTGTATATATATATATATATATATATACATACAAGTAATGTACAATGTTTCATGTTACGACTCTGTAAGAATGCAGACACTCGATTGTAACTTACGTTACATTTGTATTATATTTTTCGAATTATATAGTGCGAGAAATAATAAATTCACGCGTACGCAACCGGAGAGGGAAGAAAAAGATTCTTTCTCGTTCGATTGAAATCTCGATATTTACGGAATTTTATCACATTAAACGATAGAACAGTCGTGACCAAAGTCTGATTTAGATCGATGTGAAATATCGATCGGCCGGTAAATATACTTTCTACGCACGAGACATTTTCCTCGGCAAATGATGTACGAAATAATGTACACATGCGCGCTGTCTCTCGCTATGTAATGTATATACATCGAGTCTCTCATGGATCATGTAAAACTACATTTGTATTTTCCACGCGTGTATATATATATATACATGTTCACGCATCCGAAATATATGTGTATATATACATACATACGTACATTCATATTATTGTATTGTACCATTTACTTTTCTACCTTGCGACTTCTCTTCTGTCATGCATATTTCATCCCGCGTTGTTCTTTCTTTCTTTCTTTTTTTTTTTTTGTTTGTGTGTGTGTGTGTGTGTACATGTACAGCGAGAGGAGGACACGCGGCGTCATTGATGCTGGTAAGTGTCTCTCGGGCTTCCACGATGCATTTAAATTCTCCTCGAAAAAAGACGAATGTCTAAAAAGAAAAAAGAAAAAAAAAAAAAAAGAATATGTGTCCATTAAACGAGGACACATATTTGCGAGAAGATCGAGATGTTTTATTTCTCGAAATCATCTTTGCTCGAATATATATATATATATATTTTTTATTCTTCTTTTTTCTTTTTTTTTTTTTTCGGAATTTTCACGCGAAAAAATGCCCGCGTTTCCTCTTTTCTCAAACGAAGAAAAAAAAAAAACGATGTACCGTATCGTTGCGTTGCGCGTACGTGCTCAACTCCGCCCAATGTTTCATCCACGATCGATATAAGCGAAAATTACTTTTTCGCTCGATCGAGAGAAAAAGAAAGAAAGAAAGAAAGAAAAAAAGTGAACGTACGTGAATGCGAATCAAGCGATAATTCTTTTTTTTTTACGATTGACTCACGATCATATCCATGATTATCTCGCGTTCATGTATATCGTAATATTTTTTTCTTTTAGCTTTTTTTTTTTTTTTTACGTTATACGTGACGTCTCGTGTAAACGACTGAAATCGATTCTCCGATCCCCCGGGGGGGGGGAAGGGGATCATCCTTCGAATTTTTCGCCTCACGCTACGAATTTAAGACGAATTAGACAAAATGTCTCGCGATTTTATACTTTATTATCGATATTATATTTGACGCCCCGTGTTCATCTATCGGATGTATGTTAAATAGACGACGACGATGATGATGATGATGTAATTATAATGTATATAGCGATTGTCTCGAAAAATGCGCATGATTGTTATTGATAAGTATTGAGCAACATTTTTTTTTTTTTTTGTTACGTTTCTCTCGTTGAGAGCCAGGAAAATTATATACGACAACAAGTTTTCACGGCAAGGGACGATCTTCTCTTGGGGAAATTGTTGTCTCGTCATATTGAAAAAGTTATTTTATTTAATTTTAAACACTGTCACCTTACATCCTATTCTTTTTTTTTTTTTTTATTCTGCCTCCTCCCCCGCCCCCCTTTTTTATTTTTTTAATTTACACCGAGACTCGCATCATCGTAAATACATTCTCGTATTTGCATACATACATGGATTCAATCTCTTGTACGTGTATATCGTATTTTTCCGATTATTTAAAGAAGAAGAAGAAAAAAAAATATCCTTCTTTGAGATGAATTTTTCTTTACAAATTCGTCGATCGATATTACAAAGATCGTTTCATTAAATCACGAATATCATTTTCACGAAAAAAAAAAAAAAAGTCTGCCGACACGAGGAGCAATATTGTTGTTCATCGCTTTGTAAATAGCTTAATATTTATTCGAGCGCATCACCAGACAAAGTACCTGTGCATCCTCCGATGAAGAATCATCCTCCGAAGAAGAATCATCATGGCCGCCATTACGAAGAAAGAATCTTAAAATCGCCAGGGGATTCGTTCACGATCGATCTAGTTGTTATACTTTTCTTATCTTTCTTTGTACAAAAAAGAAAAAAAAAAAAAAAGAATGGACACTTGGAGCGATTTACTTTTTAATTTGTAACCATTTTTATAACATTCGAGTATTGAAAAAGAAAAAGAAAAAAAAAAAAGAAAAATTCTTGAGATTAAAGGAAATATGATGAGAAAAAAATGAAGAAAATTGTCTTTGTCTTTGTAAATTCCTTGTAAAAAAAAAAAATTGGAAAAAAAACAATGACTTGAAGAATTAAGGAAAATACCGATGAAAAGTAATAATAACAATAATAATAATAATAATAATAATAATAATAATCGTGTTTGTATATATAATTCCTCGTAAAAATTCAAACGTTGGGAAAAAGAAGGGAAAAAAAAATGCGCATACAATTTAAAATTATAACTTTAAAACACTGATTTACCGAGAATGAATCGACAAATTTTATCAATCGTTAATATTTTTTTTTTCCTCTCTTTTTTCCCTTCCGCGATTTTCAAATTACTTCGAACGATCCCTTAACGTTGAAATAATTTTTATCAAAATATTAAATACTTAAACACCACTTTCGAATAAATCGATTCGTTGATCGCCACGATCCCATGTGGAGTAGCATAATAGTGATATCATTGATCTCGCAAAGTATAACGTTCCAAAAAAATAAACAAATAAATAACAATAATCGTCCAGGCGGAACGATCGGGTTACGCGTTTCAATGGGCGATCTTTCTTACTGAGAAATTTATAATAAACGTTATCGGTGTCCGACGATCTCGTTCCTTTTTCAGAATATTGCATTGGATAATGTTTCGTGATGATTCATCAACCTTGAAGCGATCTCGTTCAATGCCCGTCGTCCGTCCGCGCTTCAGATGAAATTCGCATTGTTAACGGCTTCGCGATGTTCGCGGTAAAAAGAGAGAGAGAGAGAGAGAGAGATTCGGTTTCGTTTCCTTTTCATTGTTAACATTGTTACAACTCGTCAAAAAGAAGAAAAAAAGAAAAAAGAAAGTCTGTTCTTGAGGGGTAATGATAGTTGTTCAAAAATAATAAATGTTCCAAAAAGTAAATTGAGAGAGAGAGAGAGAGAGAGAGAAAGGTGGTAGTCGAGCGAATCCCCGCGTGTCACGTCCCTCAGAAGAAACAATGGAAATGCTGCGACATTGGGAGACATATAATGAACCTCCTTGTTTCTTCCCTCCCTCCCTCTCCTTTCTTCCCATTTCGCCTTCTTTTTTCCTCTCTTCGTTCATCGTATCTTCGACGAAAGCGTGCGCGGATAAAAATTAATGTAAGTTGACCGCGAAGAGGCGGGAAGAGAGAAAGAGAGATAGAGAAAAAGAAAAGGAAAGAAAGAAGAAACGAAGTACGTTATTTCTCTCCTCTGACGATCGACCGTGTATATACACACTCGTACACCGCTTGCATGAAGTTGCTTACGCACACGTTGACGACATCGTTGATCGTTTTTTTTTTAAATTACGTGAAATCCGCATTAGGATTAAAGTTTTGTCCACGCTAAAACGATACACCGATTTAACTTAGGTACTAATTCGTAAAATATATATTCGTTTGGTTCTTGTCTCGCTTTTTAATGTGATTTTCAAAGAAGTTGCCAAGCGTCTTAACCTTTATCGTGAAAAAAACTTTTTAGAGTCGATGATCTTACGATACAACTAACTAAAATGGATGGTATGCATCCAAAGGCAAGTAAAAAGCTTTTACCTGGTAATTTTTCAAATAGATCGAAATATATACTTGTATTTGCTCAAATTTTCCCACCATTTGCCACCTGTTTGTATTGGTGTAAGTTTATAAAAAAAAATAGTTCGCTTTTTCGTTCAATAACGATTAATTTATTCATCGATTCGATAACTTAACCTAAACATTCGTTTATTTTCATGCACGTGTTTCTCTCGTAATATTCTCTCAAATTTTCATCCTCTTCTATTGTAGATATTAAATAATGCGTCGATTCCCTCGACACCGGAACACGCACGAAACACTTGTACACCACGTCCACTTTCCAAACGCTTTTGTTATTTCCGTCGCGCGAAAGCGCCCCTTCTATGTGACCGCATGTAAAGAAGGTTTTTCGATTACGTAACCGTAACCTCGGATGATCGATGAATAGATGGCGACCGTATCGAGAAAATACTTCGACTATTTTTTTTTTTTCTTGTTGAATCATCGTCAGTTTTTGGGAGAGGCGTCGTGTTCTTACGTACATACGTACGGAATGAATCACTAGTAAATAGAATTTAAAAAGAAGAAGAAAAATAGGACTCTACTTGAAAAGCAAAAAGCATTAAATTTTAAAATCTTTCGTATTTCACAGATTCTTCCGAATTCTATTGAACTGTATATAATATATCACGTAGAAGAAAAGTGATAAGTCGCGAAATTCGTGTCTTCTTTTTTCTCTCTCTGTCTTCAGAGAATATTCACTTGTCCAATGAGCCTCTCTCTATACGAAACACACGGTTTATATATATATATATATATATTTTCGTGTCGTGGAATCGTAATTCGTTTGCAATTCGATCGATGGTAACGTACTCATCGATTAACTTCGTCGATGACTGCATCGTGGCCTGTTAGTACAGTTGCACGTCGCATACACACGTCGTGTATATAATTAACGAAAACGACGAGGAGCAAACAAGATGCATCAATCGGATATTTTTGTCTCGAAAGATCATCGATCGAAAGGATCATTTACGCGTTAAAGAATAAGCGAGAGAAGAATATTAATAACAATGGTAAGGATGATAATAAAAAAAAGGAAAGAAAGGCATTGCGTGAATGGAAGAAGATTGTGTAATCGAAGAAACGATGACGGAGAAGCGAAAGAGAATAAGGAGGAAAAGAAGAGGGGGGGGGAGGAGAGGGGAGGGGAGGGGAGAGAGAGAAAGAACTGTTAGGCATAAAAACGAACTCTCTAATTGTATGAATAATTGTACGGAGTAACGGGGGTTCGATTGGTAATAAAGAAAAGATTTAACCTTCTGTCCTCTATTTTATGCTATTATAAATGTTGAACAAGTTATTTACTTTCGACGCGGAATTTAAAATCTTTATCGATTCTGAAATATAATTACATAATATTGTTAGAATAAGTTTTTTTGACGAGGGAACGAAAGTTAATTCTTCGGTTTATCAAAAAAATTTTTCTCCACGCTGCCGAGTATTAATTAATTATTAAGTTCATTCATTATATCGTTGTCGCCTGTGATACGTTTCGTCTCGTGTTATTTTTTTTTTTTTTACTTACCACATATGCATATATATATATATATATATTTGTTATTTAGTTCAATCGAAAGATCGTCATCGAAGATTGGTCAATCTTCTACACGTTCGTCTTGACGCACTGCCAAAGTTTCTATAACGTGTCTATTTTTTTTTTATCCTTAACACATTCTCCTTTTTTTTTTTCGAATAAGAAAAGATCTCGAGTTTATCTGGTTCATCCATTTTACGTTTGTTTGTTTGTAGAAAATGACGAGAATGCAAAGGATCGACTGAAATAAAACGGTTTTATACGGACAATTTATCGATATTTAATGATTTTTTATTTAATAAATCTTTTTTAAACCAATATCCTTTTCTTCTGTTTTTGATTTTGCCCTTACGACGAAGATATTATTGACGTATGACACTGGAGTTTTATTAAAAAAGAGAAAAATAAAATAAAAGAAACGTTATTTGTTTCATTTAGTATTTATTAAAAAATCGATTAAGAAAATTAAAAACGCAGAGAAAATAAGCAAAGAATAATCACGAACAATGTGTGAAATGCAATAATATTCGTGTTCCATTTAAAAAAAATAATACGATATTTTACTATGCCTTTAGCGTAACACGCGGCGCCATTGGTGTTTAATTGATATTTATAAGTAATGTTGTATAATAATATCAATATTAAAATAATATGAGATAAATTTTGAGAATAAGAATCGTAATTATCGTTTGTTATATAAACAGCCATTAACAATGACACATTCAACTTCATATAATCGTATAATAACACCAAAATAATTGTATAATTATTTCCGAGTTATTGGCTGATTTGATATGATTTTTTTTTTTTTTTGCTTATCACGATAGTACAAACGTATCAATTGTTGATAAAAAAAAAAAAAAGAATACGTGATTAGAAGAAAAAGGTAAAACACTTTAAAAATATTCGAAATAACACGAGTGAATATTTTGATAGATATTTTTCTCCTAAAATAAAAGAACAAAAAATCGAAAAAAATATTTACAACTCGTTACGCTAACGTGACTTACTTGTATTAACAATGTTGATTACAAATTTTTTCTCACATTTGCATTCCGTTCGAAATATTAGTCGACAATGTTCTCGATCGCCAGCAAAAAGTTTAATTTCTTCAACGTGCGATCGTACGTCATCGTTAACCCGCGAACGCCTTAATAAATAGCAATAAAGCGAAATAAAAATCATTCCCGCCGTGGAACCACACCACGATTCGTATTTGAAACGTTGTACGTACGAAGTCCAAGTCGAATAAATCGCGTGCATTGGTCGAACGTTCTAGGTAACAGCGTGTAACATGGGACACTCGATGCCAATTCTCCAACAAGAGAGAAGAGAGCTTTCACGAAAGTCGATCGTGAAGAAAGTTCGATCGTGCCTTCTATTTCGTAGCGGCATGGTTACGCCTTCGTTTTGGCGAACGATCCCGCAAATGATCGCGGTTCCATCAGACGCAAAAGTCATACGTTAGGTTACGTCATTTTGTTCCAGAAGATAGCGGACGTTTGCTTCCGCCATTTCTTACTTTCTCTTTGTCTCTCTCTCTCTCTCTCTCTCTATCTTTTTCTCTGTCCTCTTAACCATCTTTCTTTCTTCCCTCCATGTTCCACAAATTAGCCGTTATCTGTTTTAAAAGGATTACAAAACGATTGTTCTTTGACGTCGTAAATGCGATACGCAGCTTTCGATTTAAGAGAAAATGTGTTGCAACAACCGTGAAATATTTATCCGCTTTAAGCCATTTGCATGGGTACATGGTTGAATGGCCCGCCATGTTTGCTTCTGCTGTATCATATAATGGAATATTCCATCGAAATTTGCGAAGAATTATTACTGCGACTGATCTATTATGATTTTATAATGCAAAAGATGGCGCTTCTTCTATACGAATGTTGAAACATATTTTTACGTATCTACTTTGTGACGAGTTATTTTTTTTCAAGTGTTATATAAAAAAGAATTGTTTTCCTCTGTTTGCAAATAGGTTAAAGGTGTGGAAGGTGGTGTGAATTATGTGTCGAAAACACATATTGCACGATTCTTTTTTTTTTTTTTTTCTTTTTTCGAAAGACAATATTATGATTACGATTCGAACGATGATTAAAATGTAAATATTTGTTAAGCGACTGTGTGTTCTTCCTTTTTTTTCGAACCCATACGAAACAGCAATGGAAAACGTATCATTGTCGAGCGATATTTGAGAATCCATTTTATGAGGACGGATCACCATACGTTTCTCGAAAAGAATAAAGCAAAGAATTTAAATTTTAATCTTTTCACCGAACATGTGTTTCTTTTTCAAAAATGAAAAAAAAGAAAAAAATTAATTATTTGAAAACGTTTCGATTATTCGATCGAAACGGAAACAATTTTGTATTTACATTAAATTATCTCCGACACTTTTATTTTCCCCTCTTCTTTTTTTATTATTATTATTATTATTATTATCCCAAAGTTGTTTTCGAAATTTTATAAGGAACCAGAAATTCACAAAATGTAGACAGTTAATATTTTCGCTCGAAATATAAAGCAACAATATGAAATAAGGGAAATCTGAAATTGTAAATTTTTTTTCTTTTTTTTTTTTTTTTTTGTTACCAAAAGAATATCGCAAATTCCAATCGCGTTTTTATTAATGATTATCTTCTGCTCTTTTAGAGTCACGTATTTGAAAGTCAGAATGCAAATGATCTCCGACTCATATTTTGCAGAATATAAGAAATTGTTTGTACCATTATACATTATTTGCGTCATTTACACGTGACAAAATAAAATTCTTTCCCAAATATTTCCGAGCATCGCACGTATCGTACACGATAAATCGATGATCTGCCGAACTACACGTTTCCTTATTGCGATTAGGTGGATTAAGAGATAACTGTAATTTGCGTACAAAGCGAAAGTGAGCGAGACTCCTCCCGTAATGGACGTGGTTATACGGTTTTTCGCAGTGTGTAATTACAGGCCGGTTATCAAGGCACGTATACAACACGTATATTTTCGTTTCGATTATTCTAACGTCATCACAATGACGTAAACAATATAATATATGAAAACATTGAAAAAAGATCTTGGACAGATTATCGATCTTACGAAAACATGTTTGCGGGAATCGAAATGATGATTACATATTTTTGAATGGAAATTTTTTATTTACTATCACTTGATACTTCTGTTGAGAAATTGATCGAGTAAAATAATAATTAAAAATAATAATAAAAATAATAATAATATACACCGAATTTCTTTTTCTTTTCGGAAATTCGTCCGAAAAATATTATTGTGTTGAATATTCGATGATTATCGTGATACGGTTATTCGTTGACATTACATGTACGAAAACAAAATTCTTATTATTATGTTTTTTTTTGATACCATTATCTTCGCGATAAGGAGACGATCAATTGCGTTGTAATTCGTTTGTTTGTAATTTCCGGTTAAAATATAATTTCGTTAAAGAGAAAAGATCCCGACAAGATAGAGGAGCAAACCAATTATTTCCTTCTGATTTATTTGATAATAAAAATAATTCATTTACATATTCATTTTTTTTTTTTTTTTTACTATACCACGTAAATCTCTCGAGACGATCCTCTCCTTCTCGAACGTTTTTTACGAATCGTGCCACGATCAAAATATTTTGCTAAAGCTAGGAAAAGAATCGTGTCGTTTCCGAATTCAGAATTATCTCGATCAATTGTGTTGACGACGAAACGTCATATCTTAATCTCGTTAGAGAACGCTTTTTCGTTCTAATTTTTCTTTCCTTCCTTTTCTTTCGTTTCGATCGATTCTTTCCTTTTACCTTAAATAATAATGGAAAAAGATTAGCAAAGACGAGCAATTATTAATTTCTTCTTTTTATTCTATATGAATCGTTTCGAAATCGTTTCGATCTTTGAAAAAGATTCGGAATAATTAGATTAGCTTATCTAAGAACGTATGAACAATAATCTCCGTTTTAAACATCTTACGAAATTTTCTCGTGGATCTTCGTAATCTTGCGAACGTATGTTTTTTTTTTTTTTTTTTTGTCATTGGATGATCGAGCGAACCGTATCGGGGAAAATTCGATTTCAAAGCCACGTGTCGCGTGCGCATTACGCAATAATTGCACAACTGACGGATTATTACATTTCCTACGATCGTTGCGTAAAGTCTATCGATTCCATTAAAATCGACGACTTCGATTGTTGCGTTGACTTTGTAAAACGTTTGTCTTCGTTTCAATATCCTTTAGAATAAGACGTAAATCCTGTATATGTTATTTTTCAAAATTTCAAAATCGTCATCGTTCTCGTTTCTCAATCAGAATTCTTAGGAATCACGTTTCCTAAGAACGTAAGGCAATTTAATCGTGAATACGCGAATACGCGAAAGATTTTTATCGCGGGTTCCGTAATAAACGGAATATTTTCGTTTGAAAAAGAAAAGAGAATTCATTGTGATAATAAAAAAAAAATAATAATAATTATTCTTTTCTTTTCTTTTCTCTTTTTTTCATTCTTTTTTCGAATAGCGCGCTTTAACAGCACGTGTTCAGCACGTGCTTAATAACACGAAACGAAAATCTAGAGACCTTTGGGTTAAAAATAAAACTGTTTAACTGTGCGGAGTACATCAGTGTGTGTATGTGTGTTTACGTACAATTGCACATATTTGTCACACGATAATTGTGTTGGTACGACGAACGCATGCGCACACACGCGCATGCTCACAGGGCCCATTGCTAACCAGAAAAAAATTATAGTAAACGAACGGCTCGCTCACCCGAGCTAGACATTCGGAAGGTTTTTACGCGGGTCAGGGACGTATTCGGAGGCGTTGCCTCTTTTAAATTTGTCCTCCGCATTCAAGCCGCTTATTAATACACACGTAGCATATATATACGATAGCCTTTATAATCTGGTTGTTGAACTTTTTCCCGATTTTGTCTCTAGAAAAAAAATGGATATTTCGAGGTGAACGATCGAGCGATCTCTGTTAAATATTTAACACGTGAATACATTAGAAATTTTCGAGGTCGAATTAATAAAATGTGGCAGAAATAGAAGGTAACGATTCGTCACATGTGGATCGTTCGTAATTTTTTTTTTTTTTATTCCTCCACAAGCATCCTCAAGGACGATACAGCCTCACTATACCGTTAAATTATTTGATACTCCATAGTCGATAGGTAGGAATCTCAGGTAGGATTGTGTAACTCCCGTTGAAGGATCTTTTAGCGCAAATAATTTACATGGTGTAAAGGAGTGGGGAAAGAAGTTAAAAAAGAATCACACGTGAAGTAAAAAGTTAAACATTGGATGCAACTTAATACTTCAATTAGTGTTCGTTATCGAGCTAGTCGTGAGCTTAGTCGTGTGAGTCTAGTGGAGCTAAATAGTTTAGATATTAAACACTTCTAGTATGTAGGTTAGCATAAAACTTTCTCACGTATCACGTATATCTTTGTAAATACACGTTGACATCTGTTATTTCTTCTGTTATCCAAATCGCACCTTTTCCTTACTCAACACATACACCAACCGTGGAGTATAATAATTTCACATTACGTTATCATATTGCCATAAGCGTTTTACGATACTCTCCAGTTATCAATCTACCACTGCCAAGAGATAGTAAACTCGTTCCACGAATCCCTCGTACCTTCTTCTCTGTTAAATATAAATACAATTCAAATTGACAATTAATATTATTATGTTTCGACTTATTATCAAAGTAATTCGTAAGTAATTCTAAACTATTAAATTTTCTCCATCGCTGTCGAAAACTTACGTACTCCCCGGCGCGTGGATAGAAAAGGAGAGGATGCTGCTTGCAACCAGGGCATGTCGGCGGAGATAGGAGCGGGTCGCGGAGAGAAAATCCGCGGCGTTTCGTGCGGCGTAACAACTTTCTTTCCTCGGATAAGGACGCGTGGGTAGCGGCCGAACGTGGGGGACCACCTCGAGGAGGAAGCGTTTCCTAGGGTAACGGCCAAGGAGCCGTCGAGTTCGAGGAAAGGCAGAAAACTTTCTCCACGCCCGCGACCACACGAAATGCCATTGGAGAGAAGTTTCGATCGAATCTTCGAATTTGTTTTTTTCGGAAGTTGTTTCGAAAATGAAGAAGCTATTTTCTTTC